ATTACCTCAGCCAGGAATCAAACCTGGATCACTCGCTTTACGTACTCATATATATATATATATATATATATATATGTCGGCAAACTCTATTAGATTTCTGACAATTTGATAAAACATCATCAGATATAACAGATTCTACGTAAAATTTATTACCTTTCTGTTATGAAAAATTTATCATGATAAATTTAATAACTTTGCTTAGTAAATAGCTTAGTAAAGAGCGACAAAATTTATATATAATCACTTCCCTCCCAACATATATATATATATTAGGAGAGAAATGATTATGTATAAATTTTGTCTTTGTATATCTATATGTAATTATATACAGAATATGAAGTGCTCACTTTCCAGCCAAATGAATTTGTTTTCTTTTTCCGATCTGCTCCACTTCACATTTCTTGTGATTTCTCACCCGATTGCGCAGTAGTCACTTCCGGTGTAGATGTCCATCATCGTCCAGCTGTAGTTCCCTCTCGCTAGTGAATCACTCACAAAAGTAAGTCGACTATAGAATTCGTATCTAGAGTTCTTCTCTGCTGAAGGTGGTGGTTTCACCGCCGCTATTGAGTAGGACCACATTAAGGGAAGTCATGCCTTCCAGCAGGGCTTGTTCTAACAAAAAGAAACGTCTCCTTACTATCCCAGTTGATTGTCCAAACATTAAAATTCTCGGCTATTGCCACGGACAAATAATCAGTCTGTCGAGGAAGTTATTAAACTCTTCGATTTACAGGATAGGTGGGGCATGCAACTATAGAAATGGATATTCACCTTGGCTCTTACGAAACCACAAAACCCTCTGCACCGTTCACGGCTCCCTAGAAAGGACACTTGCCGCATGACCAAATAACGGTCTTGCCGCTCGCGTTGGTTTCCCAGAGTTGGGTGTCGAAGTATCTGTACGGCTCTGAGAGTATCCCTAATTCTAGTTTTAACTCTCGCATTGTCTGGATGAGCAGGTCATATGCAGTTTCGCAGTGATTTAGGTTGAGCTGCAGTATTCTCATTTTCGTCTTTTTGTGATTACTTGAAGTACTTGCGTGTAGGCTGGGCATCTGTTGCTCCTGGCAATGTGCACATGCTTCCTCTTTGCCATTTTCCTCGCAAAGCACACAGTGCGCATCGTCTTTACACTGCTGATCTTGTACTCTTCCGCACCACACTTCATGCAGCGCTTAAATCTATCAATTGTACTTTTGCAGCTGCTGGACAAGTGTTCAAAGTGCCAGCACTTATAACCTGGTGAGTCATCTCACTTCTCAGATCCGGTCTACTATCTAGTTCACCCGGATCTTACCCATATCTATGAACCTTCTAATGGTTTCTGCTTGAAGCCTCATCACTATTATCTGAGTTCCCCATATGCCTTGCGAAGGAACTTCAGAACAGAATCCAGCGCAATTTCGTGATCCGTACCCACTTCCCTCTGAACAACCTCAAGTATTTCCTCCTTACTAGTGATTTCATCAAGATTTTTGATCTCAAAGTCTACTCCTTGTACTTTGCTCTTGATGCTTACATCATCTTCAAGCACGCTCTTAATAGCTGTACGCACTTGCGACGCCTTCACACAAGCTTTCCTTATTAAAGATGATTAGTAGATCATCCGCGATCGTC